TCCTTGTAACTTTAATGCTATTGAACATCATAGAACAGAACCAACTTGTTTAATTGAAACAGCTGTTAAGATTCAATAATTCCATTTCTCACAAGGTTAACATGGGAAACTCCAGAGCCACTGGGGCGGAGCCCGAAAGGATTTTTGAAATAAGAATATGCCTATATGTTAATCGGGAATGTGAGCTATCATCATGCCAAATTTCAGCCCAATCCGACCAGTATTTTTCGCGTTCACTTGTCACAAACATACACCCATACACCCATACATCCATACATCCATACATCCATACATCCAAACTTTCTCATTTATAATATTAGTAGGATTCTAAAACAATGTAAATTATTATAGAAATCAAAAAGAGATGCTAAAACCGTTGATGTATACACTCAGGTCTGCTTTTGATTTTTAAAGTGTCTAAGTTATGAAAATAATGTTATTGATATATTTTCATGGAAACAGTATGGAAATTGCAATGTATATAGATATTTTGTATTAATTTTGAGGCTATATTTTTTAATTCAAACTTTTTAGCATGTGTTGGATTACCTAAACATAACTTGCACTTTACATTGATTTTCTGATATTTAGGTAAATTTTGTAAATTTATTGCTACACCTATGCTTAAATTAAACTAAAATAATAGCATAAATAACTAAATTGTACGCCTTTGATTTTTGTGTTCTAAAATCTGTGGTATATGTGTAACTATCTATATTATTAAAACTAGCTGTTACCCACGGGCTCCACCCCGTTTTACTACATTAGTATTAATAAAACTATTGATTGGTTAAGTTAAGATGAAATAAACAAAACAGAATACAGTAATGGTAATACAAACAAATAATAACAGCTGAGGTATTTTTAACATTAGGTAAATGGAAAGTTCCCTTTGGAAAGCAATTACGATCTTATAGGGCAATTTATGAAATAATGAATAATTTTTTCTCGTCATGACGAACATTTTAAGTATATGGTTTATGTTGGTGTGACTTGTAGTTTTCTCAAAAGTTCATGGGTACTTTTGGCTTTATATATAGATAATTTGTTGGATTTTTGTGTGCAGAAAATTCACCCATAAATATTTATTTTTATAGGTATATTTGGTATTTAGATGTGCCTTTTGCGGCTTTTGGTGATATCCCGGGAAAGCCCTTCGTCCTATAGGCTTTTAAAGTTTCGTAGTTAGTGCTAAATTCTGTCGTCAATCACCTGAAATTTTTCAAGTTTACATTTGTTTACATCAAAACATATGGTCATGATAAAATTGTGTTTACATCCATACGAAAATTGGGTTTATCTGTAGTTGGTGATGTTTCAGTTATTCATAAACCCAATAAACCAAAGTCTTCTCCACCGAGTTACCGTCCAATCAGCTTACTGTCTACACTTTCTAAAGTCTTTGAAAAATCATCTTGAAACGAATTGCCTGTTACATGGATGCTGCAAATATAATTCCTGCTCATCAATTTGGATTTCGGCCAAAACATTCGCCCATACACAAAATCTTACGTATATATGAAACGATAGTCAAAGGTCATTGAATTCAGCATCATTAAAAAAATGCCACTGGCGTAGACACGAGAAAAGAAAGGGTTTGAGAGGAAACAGAACACAGTACAGTAGTGGAATTCTTGCCGCAGACATTCGATAAGGTATGGCATGTCGGTCTTGTGTTTAAATTGATTCATTTTGGATTTCCAAAATATTTAACCGATATTGTAAAATAATCGTTTCTTTGTCACAGGACCATCTCTGTTAAAATATGTTCCTTTAAATCATACATTCGACGAGTCAATGCAGGAGTTCCACAAGGTTCAATATTGGGCCCTGTATTGTTCAATCTGTACATGTCCTCTTCCAGAAGACGACTCGTTAGCTCTTTACGCCGATGACACTGCTATCCTGTGCTAACATTCCGATATCCACGAGGCCACGTATCCTCTGTGGATGTTCTCATTGATTGGTTCTACAAGTGGAAATTTCGCCTAAATTCAACTAAGTGAGACCAAAATATTCTCCTTGAAAAAAAAAATACATTGCCACATGAAATTAAAATACATGGTAACTTTTTACCTTGGAACCCTGATGACCAGGCCATAAAATATCTTGGAGTATGGCTGGACAAAAAACTTAATTGGAACTACCACGTCAATAAAAAACTTTCACAAGGTTATGCACGCCTTGCAAAGCTTTTCCGTTTAATCAATAGGAAATCTACTCTGAAGCTTGTACAGTTCTAATCTACAAATCAATAATTCGGCCTTTGATTACATATGCATCTCCTATCTGGGGATTAGCTATATAAAAAAAACAAACTCTTCAAAATTCAAGTGATTCAAAACAAAATTCTAAGAATAGCGGTGAATGCTCCCTGGTTTGTTAGAAACAGGCATATACACGAAGAGCTAGGAGTGGAGTCTATCTCGGCCTTTGAAAAAACCACCTCAAAATTTCTGAAATCTTTAAACATGTTCCCGGTGCATTAACTTTTCATCTTGGCGAAGTAACTGAGAACAGGGGGCTACGTCGAAAGATCAATTGGATGAATGAAGCCTAAAGAAGATTAAATATATTTCTCTAAATTAATTATGTTAAAGGGTGTCTCAGGTCTGGACGAACCCACGAGGTTATTATTGTTCATTTCTTGTTTATTTTGTTAACACTTCTGTGAATAATGTCATAATTGAACCAGAAATAAATGCTGTGAAAAAAACGAAAATGGGGTTCTGTCGGTGATGTTTCAGTGAATTCAAGTAAAATGTTGTTTTATGTTATTCGTATGAAACGTAAAGAAGAAAATGACTTATGTTAGATTTTGTGCTGTTGGATTTTGTGTTTTCGTAGTATGTTTCATTAGCATTAGACATTTTTCTATGATACCTCGAAGAGATCGCGCACGAAATGCAAATGATAGGGATATGATGAGAAATAACCGTTTCCCCCGTAAACTATATATAAAATATATCACGGATTTTTATGTCATGAAGTGACGCAGGTTGCTAGTATTTAATTAATAAATAATGGTAATACCAAATACTCTTAACATTAATTTCATCTTAACATAGCTTGAAGTTCACATTTACTGCATTTTGATACATTTATTATTCGTGTTTTTCTACACCACTGATTAAATTATTTTTCTTCTAATTCACCTCGGTACCGCTATCTTTTAACTTATTTTTACATTTTGAAAGACAGATAACTTTGTCACAAATGTATTCGTAATTGTTTTTGGTAACTTGTGACTAAGAATATAATAATGGCCACACAGACCACAACCTTAAGTGTAGGAAAATGTAGTTCCCAGTGCAACAAGCATAATAACGTCGTACATCTAGTAAAATACATATTTAAATGAATTATAACTAGGTCATTCGTGTTTATTGCAAATCAACGTGATTCATTTTTCATTATAACATAATTAGAGATCTAATCTGTGTTGTTTACTCAACGCTGGGAGTCATTAGATTGTTATCAGAGCCGTTCTATGTATATTATAAATGTATGATTATTTCTGTCAGAGTAGACTCACCTATGTAGACAACGACAAGCAATAGCTTCACTTTGAAAATAAACAATTGTAAACATGACAACATTTTCATTAAGAAGAAGTATAATTTTGTTTTAATATATTATACAAAAGCCTATTCCTACAATTAAAAATTGAAATTTTAAAGCTTGTCGAATTACACATGCACAAGAGCATTGTAATTTGAACATCAAAATGATAGCTCGGATAAGTAACAAATTACCATGATATTACAGGATATGATATGCATTAGCCTGTAAGTAAGCATGGACGTTGATAAAAAATATTTGAGAAAAATCATTCTTGTATGTTTCAGTGTTTCACAACCTACCTAAGTTATGTTTCATCACCCAATATATGTGCGCTATACAAATATTCATTTAATGATTGACAATTGAAAAAAAATACAAGCGTTCAGGTGGTGGACACTGGTAGTTAACAACACCATATCAACAAACTACACCATACCATAACGTAAATTTGGCTGCAAATACAGTACAGTACTGACTAAAATATGTTAATATTGTTTGCATTAAAAAATGTATCTATTTAAAATAAGTACGCACCAATATATCTTATATACTAAAGAACTATTGCAAAACTTATGATAGCTAGCCTGGCCATACTACGGGACCGAATTATACGTGGTTGGTACCAAATGAAAGATATTTTTCTTTAGATGTGCAGAATCATTTTATAAATTAACATAGACTCAAAAATAAGCACGAAACTTGAATTTGAAAGTTTAACAAAATTAACATGGGTTACCAATGGGTCTTATGGGTTGCCATGTTGGTGACGTAATAACAACAAAATATAAATAGAAAATCAAAACAAATTGAAGAAATTCCAATCACATGTTTTATTTACAATGTGGGGTGAAATTAGAGAAGTTTGCACAATACATACTTTTGGTCGAGTTTTTGACCTCAGGGCGAGCTTTCGTTATATACTATATTTTGCAAAACTTATGACAGATAGCCTGACCATACAACTGGACCGAATTACACGCGGTTGGTACCAAATTAAATATATTTTCCTGTAGATGTGCAGAATCCCTTTATAAATTAAAATAGGCTCATAAATAAGCACAAAAATGAATTTTAAATTTAAAAAAAGTAACACGGGCCTTGTGGGTTGCCATGTTGGTGATGAAATAACAACAAAATATAAACAGAAATCAAAACAAATTAAAGAAATTCCAATCACATGTTTTATTTACAGCGTGGGTTGAAAATAGATAAGTTTGCACAATGCATACTTTTGGTCGAGTCTTGACCACGGGGAGAGCTCTCGTATGAGCTATTTTATATAGTTGAAGACAAACTGAACGCCGTTAATTGTGAAACGACGCTTAACACGGAGACTGATATTTACATTGTCGCGATCGAGATAGCGCTGTTTGACAAGAACTTAACAAGGTGATAACGTATCAGTGAGGGACGGATGGTCCTAAAGAATAACAAAACGTGTGATAAAACAAATCTCAGTATCTAGAGAAACCTGATATCTAATCTTAATCACGAATCGAGTTGTGATGGTGGGGAGAGGGTTACTCGACGGTGGCAGTTGAGGCAGTCCGTCGTCCGACGGCAGACCGAGTACACTCCGGCAGCGGACATGGGTACGGACTACAACACGGACATCACTGTGGCCAAGGTGACGTCGATGGTGGTGCTGGGGGGAGCAGCCTTCATAGTCACTCTCATCCCTGTGTTCATCAGCAAGAGAATCACGACAACACCTCAGGCGCCGAAGAAGAGTAACAACTCTAACTTCATACTCTCCCTGTGCCAAGCGTTCGGTGGAGGTGTGTTGTTGTGTACGACGTTCCTCCACTTGCTGCCAGAAGTGTCGGAGAGCATCGAGACATTGCAGGAGAATGGAGGGATACCGAAGAACTTCCCTTTGCCGCTGCCGGAGTTAGTGATGTGCTGCGGTTTTTTCACTATGTACATTGTTGAGGAAGTAGTCCATAAGCTACTCCACTCACGGAATGTAAAAAATTCATTGCGAAAGAAAAATCCGTTAAGCGTATCCTCGGCGGTACTAGTAGACGCGGATTTGTCGATGACAGATTCGTTAAAAATATTCGATCAAAATTCGTTGAAAGTAACTTTCGCACCTCCTTGTGAAGAGGACGTGAACATCGTGACGGTAACCCAGAAGAATTATTCTACGTGCGGCAATCCGTCGCAGCACTGCCACAACCACCAACATTTGTTCCACGAGGATGACAGGGACAGCCATGTCGACCACGACCACCAACCACACTCGCACGACCACACCATCGTCACCGAGGACCTGCCCTCTCTCCGCGAGTTGCTCATAGTCCTGGCACTGACAGTCCACGAGGGGTTTGAGGGCCTCGCCATCGGCCTGGAGGACTCTGTGGCCGCGGTTTGGTACCTCATGACTGCCGTGGCCGTCCACAAGTGTGTCATCGCCTTCTGTATCGGTGTCGAGTTGGTCTCCGGGAAAGTGTCTGTGGCACTCTCGGTGTTCTACGCGTTCGTGTACTCGTGTGCGTCTCCCTTCGGCATCGGCATCGGCCTCGCACTATCCGCCTCCAACGACAGCAACTTCACCGCGCTCATGTCGGTCCTGCTGCAGGGCATGGCCACAGGGACGCTGCTCTACGTCGTCTTCTTCGAGATCCTGAAGAGAGACACCAACGGGAGGGGATTGTCGCAGATGGTCGTCGTTATCCTAGGATTTGTCGCAATGGCGGTTCTCGCCATCCTCATCAACGCTTAGGTTAGTCCATTTGTTTTATTGTTTCAGTATCCTATTAATCTTTTAGTCGAGCAATGTTTATAGGTGTTACTAAGTGCAAACAACAAATATTATTCACCTCACCTATAGTTGATTGACGGAAAGAAATATCACAAGATTTGTTATCGTAGATAACATTGTTTACGCTGATTGCCAGTTTTAAAAACATGGCATCAAATTAAGCATTGGGGATAAAAACGAATACGAATTGATATTTTGTAATTTGTATCAAGGAACCGAATTCTTTGTCTGTTTCGGAGATAATACGCCTAATATTTGTTTACTAGAACTTCATAACAACGCATCTATAAAGATATGTAGACCATGAGCCACCAATATGAAACCCTCCCCCCCTGTGGGAATTTATGACTTATACTTTTTTTTTATTACCTACCAGATTAAGAATTCATTTGTTTGCTTCTTTTAAATTACAGCGTATTCCGGAAAATAAAGAAAAACTGTTAAATTTAAAAACTGATTTATTTAAATTACATAAGGGTAGCCTGCGTTAATTACCGGTGCAATATTTTTTTATGGACTTCTTCAGTATGTATTCAAAGGCTTCAAATGAAAATAAAAACGTTTTTAAAATACCCCCGCTGCAGCAAACCTGTAGGCAATGCGGATTTCAAATTTGCCTGAATTGTTTTTCAATTAAATATATTTAAATAACATTAGATTTAACGAGTACCTCAAGGAAAGAGATTTTAAGAGATTCTATTTAAATTAAACTAATGGAACCCCGTCGAAATCGACGGTTAATCTTGAGGTTTTATGTAAATTCAGCTAACTGCAATGGATAGAGTGAAGTCATTAAAATCTTAGTTAAATGAAGGGAGGATAAGCAATAATAAGTATGACGATTGTGTTCCCTATAAACGTGATTGATGTATTCGTTTAACACAATATTTCCTACCTTTTTGTCGGCTTTAGGTTGCCCTAAGGGTTTTTTAGGAGTCTTATAATTGTTTGTTCATGAGTTTGTTTCATACCAAAGCCACTTTCACTATATAGGAGAATGAGTTCATATAATTAGCCTATCATGTTACGGAAAGAGTAAATTTTATTACTAACCACTAATTCCATCTGCTTTAGGAAAATCATTCAGATTGTATCCTGATTTATAAGTAATCTTCATCTTTGGTCATAAAAATACAGAATTCTATCAGCATATTAAATCAGTTTTTTTGTTTGATAAAAATAACTGATTCTCCAGAAAGCAGTAACATTCTTACTTCGATCTCAGCAATTTTAATTCCTTCTCTTGCCACATCGACCCATGTATTTAATCATCCTGTTCTTACTAGATAATTCATTAACTTGTGGGGTAGTTTTGCCTTGGCCATATAGATCACATAAAGCTGTGCATGTATTTCGTGGATTGGAATTAACCATAATTGTAGGAAATTTTATCACAAATATTGAACATTTGCGGAATCAAATCCATAACCTAGTCCAGCCTTGGTAACAAATTATGCAAATGCGATGAGATGTGATGACACTTGTTGTGTTTCCGAATGTTTTGTATGTAGTGAGGTTTAGATGCGTTGTTCGACCTAGCTACATGTGTACATCAAAGTAAAAACTGTGTACACATTTTTTTTTTAATACCTGAATTGACATTAGTTCACCTACTTTAACAAAACCATAGACTCCGTAGTTAGTCTATTCCAAAACTTGAACACAGCTCTCATCCTCAACGTACTCATCTATGACACAATTTTCAACCCGATTATCAAAACCTTTTATACCAATAAATGAATCTCAGGTGTTCTTTCTTGAATTTAAAAATAAATGGTGATTGAAAGTAGGGAAAAAAGGCAAGTGCCAACCTTACAATAAATATAAGCTAACCCGATAAGGAATAGTTATATGTTACTTTGAAATTGATATGTCACACTTATTTCATAATTTAAAATTTTCTAAGAGCAATAAATCATATATTTTTGAACAAAACATTTAAAACGTATCATAAATTCATCATTTTGTTGAAACTATAAAAAACTTGCCATGCAGTGGAGAATCCATTTAAAATCATAAATGATAATGTAAACATTTAATTTTGACAGTTTCAGTATACCTTTGAATGCAATTTTAATATTAACAGCTGGTTCATTAAAAGTAGTGTAAAATTATCCATATGGTCGAAATGTAAACAAAATTGCAGAGTGAACTTTAAAGGCCTCTGGGGCAGAGCCCCAAGGAAATTTACCTCGTTTATCTTTTGAGGGCTCACCTACTGACCAATACCTTTCTTTAGACACCCCTACCAAGTTTCTACGCCCAGCCGTTCTCTCAAATTAGCTGTGACAAAAACCTCGTTTTCCTCCATAAGAATAACATGGGACGGGAATTTAAAGGCCACTGGGTCAGAGCCCCGAGAGAATTCTCCATGTTTCTCTTTTGATGGCTCATCTACAGACCGGGACCTTTCTTTAGACACCTCTACCGAGTTTCTACGCCCAGCCGTTCTCTCAAAATAGCTGTCACAAAGAAAAACAGTTTCAAATTAATATATAGATACATTTTAGACGTAAATTTTACTGGAATGTAAGGTTCCAGTAAGACTAACGTCTAAAACTTTGTTTTCCTCGTATCAAAATCGGATTTGCGACAGTAATTTTCTTTTTTTAAATCTCATTAAAATAATGTGCTGATTGATATGGGTTGCCATTTAAGAGAAATTAAGTTCCTCTCAGCAACCCTGTTTGTGGGTGGGGGGTGAATTTCAAAATATCACCAAAAAGAACCTTACATTACCCTAGAAACGTGTATTGAAGCTTGTTTGAATTTATGCATATTTGTGCTGAGACCATTCATTATTTAGCAGGTTAACCCGTTGTTCCTTATTTTTACCATTAGCTAGGATTTTTTCCCATCCCGTGGGATCTTGATTTTGGACCTCTCATTAAAAACGTTTCTCCAAATCCCCTTCTCTCTTTCAATGTTTTTAATAGATACATCTAAATAGGTATCCGTAATAAAGTATATCCTGCTGAATTTCGGAAAACGGCTGAAGGCAATCTGTGCTAGTTCACCAGAGGTTTCTGGAATATTAGTAACAACCTAAAAGTAAGCCATACCGTCAATTACATACATACATTCTTCAATCTTGGGAGGTTCGTCTACGATACCCTTGTTCTCCAAAGCATGGAGCAGTTTGGCCTTTTCTGTTTTTGTTGGGCATCCATCGGCAGTGGATAATGCCCATGGTACTGGATCTAATGGGTATGCCATCAGCTTCTCAAGGCTAATATCACGTTCCTGGGACAGCAGTAAAACTCCAGAACAATATTTCTTTTAGCTCTTATCTTAACTAATACGTTTGCATGCAGCTTTCCCTAGATTATCTACATTGAGTAAATTGTCTTCCACCGATTCGGGTACAGGTCTTCCAGCTGATAAACAGGCCATCTAGGAATTCTGATCACGGGTTTCAACTTCAAGCAGAATAATGCATTGTTCAAAAGCATCAAGTACAGTACTTGCACAATACTTTGCTAACTTCGTTTAATTTCATTTGCTTGCATGTCACTGTGAGATTCTAACTAGCTGTGGGCCCGTCCTACGCACAGGAATCAACTAATCAAATCAAATCAAACTAAAAAATCTATACTAAAGGACCCATGCTGCACTGCAGCGTTATAATAAATATCATATCCGAGAAATAATCAAATTTATGATTTTTGATTGTGTAATACAGTATCTTAAACTTAACTGATTCAAACGATCAATAGCTCAAATTAAAGCCTACAATTGACTGATTATTTTGAGTCTAAAACATATAAAAAACGTAAACAATACTGGAGCTATTGATATTCAATCATAGAAAAACCTTATAATTTTTTATGTTGGATGTTCACCTTGCGTTTGCTTGAAACCCGTCCGATTTGAATAACTAATATCTTAAATGCAAGCCGGTATTTCACTAAAGGTTCTTAGACCAAAATATATAGGGTAATATAATTATAAATGGTAAAAACCGTACAATTTAAATTGAAATACGAATTAAAAAATATATCAAATCTATGTTTTTGGTCGAGTAATAAAGTAGATAAATATACGATGATGCTTGATGTGAAATATATGTGTGCATACTATCAATTTAAGACCTCAATCATAAAGATCTGATGTGTAGAAGAGCCAAAGAAACTCGGAAAAGAAAAAAAAAACAAATTTAACTCCCTTTAGAAATACATGGGGGCAAATTTGATTTACGTATAAGCCGAGTGGGACTGTCGATAAATATATACTGATGCTTGATGTTAAATCTGTGCGTGCATACCTTCAATTTGGGACCTCAATTATGAAAATCGGGTGGGTAGAAGCGCCAAACGAACTTGGAAAAGAAAAACCAAATTTAACTCCCATAAGAAATACATGGGGAGAAAATGTCGTTTACGTATAAGCCGAGTGGGACTGTAGACAAATATATGCCGATGCTTGATGTGCAATCTGTACGTTAATACCTTCAATTTGAGACCTCAATAATGAAAATCGGCGTGTAAAAGAGCCTAACGAAATCGGAAAAGAAAAAAAAATTATGTATATATATTCTAACTATTGTAATATTTTCGTGTTTTCTCGAACATGATGTAATTCACAAGTGGTAAACACCTAAAATCTTAAAGTACGTGTCAATACGAGCACAAAAATGTATATTTAAAAAATTCCCACCAGGGGGAGGGGGGGGGGGTATAGAGACCAGCCTCTCCTCTAATGTTGTTGTTCTTATGGAAATTGGAATTAGATACCCGGATACCAATGTGAGGTTATTAAGTTTCGACCTCAAAATTAGCAAACTGTTTATTTAATCATATGATTATCTCTATAATTAAATTTACTACTTATTTCAAAATATAAATGACGGTAAACCAGTTAACCACGATTTATACAGGGTGTCCCGTAGGAATGAAATGACAACAATCTTTAATATCACGATTTTTACTTGTACATGAGGTAGAATACGGCTAAGCTAGTCT